ATCTAAAAATCATGTGACATAATCATTAAGAGATAAGGTTTCATATAGTCAAGCCAAGGACATAAGTTAATTTGTAATTTTTTGAGTTATAAGCCAAGTCCTTAGGTGTGGAAATATTTTTGTCACTCCCCTGTATGTACGTATATTTAAAATTTTAATATTTATTATATTTATCACAGGAGTCACTACACCTTTGTATATTCAATCAAATTATAAAACTACCTTTGGATCATCATTAAATTTGCCAGTTTTGTTAAGTTATTAAAGCCATGGCTCATATTTTTTAAATATGTTTCAATTAAAAAAATGGTTATTTCTTATGCTATGAAATTAAGTCTAAACATTGTTGAAATTCATCTTCCAATTTTACAAGCAGTTCTTGTTATGGTAATTCCATTAAAGTGAAATGGCTGAAGTGAAAAAATATCTAATGAATAAAAAATTTTGTTTAAACATTGTATTACAACATTTTTACATAAGTGATTCAGAAATTTGATTCATCCTTATAATAATATAAATAGATAGATAAGCAAGTGCATAATGATTTATATATGTGTAGAAAAGATACAGTATTAATCTTTAATTTTCTTATCAGTAACGCACGTATTCCAACATCAATTTCCTATTGACAAAAGTAAATTTACAGATTGTAGTCAGTGAGGCATTTGTTATTTACTTTAGTAGTTACAATAAAAATTTTTATCAGGATTCAATTTGTTTTAAGAAATTAAATACTTTTGCATTTATTTAAATAAACTTTATTATAACACTTTCGAACTTTACAAATTTGATATAAATAAAATGATACAAAGTTAACTAGCAGTTATTTGGATCGCATCTCTAGATATAATAATTGCGGTACGTGCGTACGTATATATGTTCGCTAGAATAATTATATAGGCTGTGATCTGAGAAAAGTGACGAAATTGTCAAAAAAAAGATCTTTGGAAAATCAATTTTTATATTGTAAATCTTATAATAAATTATAAGAAAATGCAAACTTTAAAGAGCTATACTGCAAAATTTTATTAATACAACTGCTTTTATGTCTTAAGTGAAAAATGATATAATCTTATTCTAAATTGATTTATGTAAAAAAATGTCTTTTGAAAAAATTGTCAATTTTAACCCTTTTCTCAGATCACGGCGTGTATGACCAATATTACCAAACCGTATTTCAAATTTCCTTTTTTGGAATTCTTCGATGATTGACAAAATTAGCCAATAAAATAGCATTATTCAGAGATGTTAATTGAACATCTTTTATGAAATAATCGTTATTATTATACGTACACAAACTATTTATTATTAAACACAATACTGTCACTAGTAATTTATTCGTTATATAGTACGGTTAACTTTAGCGATCTCTAGTGAGGTTTTTTTTTTATTATTAGAACACACTCAAGCAAGTTTTTTTATTATTAAAACATACTCGAGCGAGTTTTTTTATTATTAGAACATAGCAGTAATACCGCTACCAATATACTGTATATTGTATCATTAGCGTTAAATATACTGCTATATCCAAAGGGTCAGTTTCAATATCTTGAAATAATTTACTAATGTCAATATCAATCATAACTATTATTATGAAAAAATGAAGTAATAAAATTGACAAAGAATTTTGTAATACTGGTTTTAAATTCGCGTAATCATGAAAGTTTTAATTTATAAAAAATAAGAATTGACGAAAAATTTGTAATACTGGCTTTAAATTTATGTAATCGTGAAAGTTTTAATTTATAAATAAATAAATTAAAAAAAAAAATTTAACAAAAAATTTTGTAATGCTGGCTTTAAATTTAATTGTAATCACGTAATCGTGAAAGTTTTAATTTATAAATAAATTAAATAATTATGAGTAAAGTATATTAAATGATTATTAGTAAAAAATAATAATAATTTATATAATATAAATAAATAAATTGTAGGTTTTAATCAAAACGAGTGTTTAAATTATGAAATCTATAAACTTTTTGTTTGATGATGTTGTTGTAATAGATATTAACCATATATATGTCAAGTTCAAGAATTTATTACAGTGTACGAGTAAAGAAAATATCAAGTTTTATTGAAAAATACAATAATTTTTATAGCCAAGTTGATGTAAAAGCATCATACTGTAAATAAGCTTACACTTAAAATAAAATAGGACTTGTAAATTATTTATTTCGAAAAAAATACATCACTTAACTCATCGGATCTTTAATTCTGAAACCTCCATAATTAAAAAAAAATTGAAATTAAATGTTTGTTATAGATGTAGAAATATTTACATCACTTAGTTATATCTAATCGTTAAATTATGTAACATATTTTTAAAATAATATAACTAAGTAATGTAAATACATCTATACACATCTTTTACACAAATGTCAGTATCTATAAATAAATTAAAAAAAAATACGAGGCAAATATCCATAAAAACATTAAATATACTTATTTGATCATACCATTCTAGCTCTAGCAACTTCAGATTAATATGTCTTCATCAAAATTCAAAATCTCTAACAAAATTAAAAAAAGGGGAAGTTATAAACCTCGAGTTAAAGCAAAGCTAAACTCACATCTTCTTCTAACAGAAGATAACAAAGTTATACTTAATGATTTACTAGAAAAGAGCGTGCCTGGGGTAATTGAAAAGGAATGGGATTTATCTAATAAAGATCAAGTTATAGATCGTAACCAATTCCTTCAGGAAAATAATCTTGATATTAACCCTGAAGATATACGATGTAAATGGTCTATCCGATACTCGAGTAAAACATTAATTGTAAAACAATGCATATGTGGAAGTTATCATGAAAAAGTAGTTGCACCTGGTTCTCGAGTTTCAACAGCTCGCTATCCCTATGTAGGGTGTCTTGCATTTGTTACAATTTCTCTTCGCAATAATAAAATTTGTAGCATTGCAGGGTATCTGGAACATTCTAATCAATGTATAATTTCTCAGCCGCAGAATGACCCTCAGTATAAGCTCCTACCATATATAAAGAAAAGTATAGAAAATTTATTGAGCCTTAATGTAAGAACTTCAGATATTCTTGCTCAAAATGCAAGAATCATGAAAAATGTCTTTAAAAATCGTACTTTAGTTGGAAATTCTAGAACATTGCTTACTGCAATGGACATTACAAACATTAAAAAACAAATGCTACAGACAAATTGGAATATAAATATTAAACATGACGCTGCAAAAAACCTAGATCAGTTTCT